AAAACAGATTTTTAATACTGGATTACTAAATGAAAGGTTTATAGTATTAGAAAATGAAAAAATTTATGAAATAATAATAATAAAAATGCACCATTTTTGGGACCATTTTTTGTTGGGGAGGGGGTGGGGGGCTGTTGTTTTTAAGGGGGGTACCCAAACAAAAACCATGTTAGAGGAGGGGGCATGCAAAATTAGTATCCTATATTACTTGTATATTCAATACAACATAAGGTCAAGGGAGGCCATACTTCTTTTTTTTCAAGAAAGTTTTTAAAACCAACAGCCCTCCCTCTCCCAATTAAAAATGAACGGTCCCTAAATGCCATAATTGAACACCACAAAATAAAGAGTCGACACAAGGAATTGGATTTGATTTGATTGAATTTTTTCTCATCAGGAATTATAACTCAGTGAGGTTAATATAGTTATTTATAGGTCTCGATAAAATTGGTTCCCTGTGTTTGATATCAGATCTAAGTAGCTTCTGAATAATGGCTCTTAAAGTCAAGAATACAATTTGCATTTCAATGGTAAAGTATACTTTTTAATATTTAAAACTAATTTACATGTGACAAGTGTGTAGTTTTTTATGTATAGTTTTGTGTAAGGTATTTAAGAATGGTTGTATATTTTTAGTTCATTATAAAAGACTTTTGACGCGGAGTCATTATATAGTAGAAAGAGTGCTTGAATGTTCATTTTGTAGACCCTGTGCATGGATTTCATAGTAACAACAATAAACCAAGTTAGGACAAAACTTGTTAATTGTATTACTTGATCCAGTGGAGTGATCTCACTTAATCCGTGCAACTGTACAAACTAAATAGTGATRTTTAGTTGCATTTAGTAAATCGTGCATACGATATACGCAAATTAAATTGAATTGATACAAATGAAGCACTCAATACCGTCTTGCTTTAGGTAACACTTTTAGTACAAATTAGTACTACTTAGATTTTGTACAGTTGCACKGATTAAGTGCATTCACTCTGGCTGTCACTGTTAGGACAATTTAAACCATCACCATCCTGAAATGATTACAAAGTCATATAAATATGTTTCCTGATCTAACTATCTATCTACCTCATAAAGTCTGGAATAAATATAAATAACGTCGGGATAATTTCACAAAATTCAATGTTACTTTGAACATTGTAAAAGTGATTTTTTATAAACTGAGATGTTCTAAACAACCACTTATTCGCAATATGAATACAAAACCCAATAAATATGAAATCTTGAYAAAGTATTTTGTTCTTTTGTAGTGAACTATGTTGATTATATAGACCTTGTACATTGTTCAATATTGTTAGAAAGTGATTAGAATTAACAGAAGTACATATTGTATAATTGCTTTTGTTTGGTTTGACTTATTACAACAGATTTCATTTACAAAATATTTATAAATTTTACATTAACCTAGAGTTTAGCAATATCAGGAGTACGTTTTCCAAGAATGTTCTCTGGTGGTTTAACAGGTTTAGGCTGACTGTACAGATATATTGCAATAATAACTGAACCAGCTCCCAAGACAAACTGAGTTGTGATGTGGAAGTTAAACAGATAAACGGACACAATACTTGAGAGCACAATTGCAAATGATGTGGCAAACCCCTTGAGGATATTATCAGCATATTTGACAACAATGGCAACTAAAAGGCCACCAAAAGCTTGCATCAGAATAACAATCCACACTAGCTTTGTATAGCCAAAAAAGAAGCCCTTTTCAGCAATCTTGGCACCATCATTKATCTCCATTCCAATGAGCCCGATAACAATAGAATAACATCCTAGCTGGATATTTCTCAGCCATAAAGAACCTGACGTTCCTTTCAAAATCTTTTCAAAGTATACACCTAAAGAAAAAATCCTGTGAGTCTAATTACACTCGAAACCCTATTAAGCAGTCACCTTTGGGAAAGAACAGGTGACCATTTAATAGAGGTCATGTTTTCACAGTAAATGTACATGACAATCAACCGCTTAATGGAAGGTGACCGCTAAATAGAGGGCCGCTTAATAGAAGTTCGACTGAATAGTGTTTTGATTTCCAATATAGTGTTTTGATTCCAATAGTGCCCAGAAATAAGATCACTTACCTGCAAAKCCAGAGCATAAACATGACATAATGACAGCTATCAGGCCAATCATTCGGCTCTGTTTAATTACTTTAGCAGTAGTTGAAGTAAGCATTTCAGATGCTGTAGGACTAATGGTTGGTTGCGGGGAATTATCATGTGGTTGTAGCTGTACAATAGATACCCCAGCAAAAAGCATTATCAAAGAAAACCATTGAAGCTTGCTYAGGCTCTTGTTTAGCATCAAAACAGAGAACAACGCTGTGGTAAATATCTTCATTTGATAGGTCACCTAAAAAAAATTACATCAAAAATAGATAAATTATAATCATCAAATCAATCAGCAGTTTAATCAAACAATCATTCTATAATCAAGCGATCATCAGTTAGGTAGACCARCAATACCTAAACAAAGTTGTCAGACTTTGTCTACCAAGGTAGGGAGTTCCAGAACCTCTGGAAACCACTGCGCATGCCCCTGATGTGCATTGCATATGGAGGAGAGATGACGCCATTAGTATAAACACTCACCTGAAATGTAGCTGCTTCTAAGTTYGATATAGCGACATATTGTAGGTTGTTTTGTATTGTATAAATTAAAGCTGGGACGCTTAGCTTTAATGTGTCTAATGGCTGACCAATAATTGACGAGTACAAATGATTAGCCCATCCTARTAAACTCTTCTCTTCATAGAGTATTACTCCAAGACAAGTTATGACTTTTAACATCTCTGCCATGACAACTGCTGTGCTKGATATATACATGTCGCCAGGAAGAGTCCGTGTGTAGCGAATGGTAAGGATGAGAGCAGCATTTTGYACAGTTAATATGATCAGACTTAAATACTTTGCATTGAAGAGGCCAGTATCTGTACAGATAACAAGATAATATGTTAAGTATGTATGTTAATTATTATACTCAGACTCCTAACAACAATATCAAAAACAATTCAACCAATCTATTTTTTTACAATATTAAAAAATTCATATAATGAATTTTAAATTGTTCCTGTGGTAAGGGAAACATTTTGGTATGCATGACGTTGAGCTATATAAGTTACAAATGACGTAACTAAGTTTATTAATATTTGTGATTTTTAATATTGGGCCACTGGATCTTTGTAGCAGAAAAATAGAAACGATGTTGTATAATATCGGMTGGTTAACCCTTAAAGAAGTTGTTAATAGTTAAAACCACAAAAGAAAGAGATGAGTAGGTGTGTTTACAAAAACAATTTCGATGGCTGTATCTTGCCACGTTGGCATTGTGCAGGCATTTTTGGCGCGGTAAACAGACACCTTTTATAGCATATAAAAAGTGCCAATCAGTTGCAAGGATTAATTATTACAAGCAAGTACACATCTAAATATTAAACTTAACTAAGAGACCCATTAAGTTTAGTAAGCTTAAGTTAATTAAGCTTAAGCTTAATTAAGTTGGGTAACCTAAAAATATGAGTTTATTTTCATCAGGAGAATATGTGCAATAACCGATGTTTGTATTCAGTGATCTAACAATTAGATTCTCTASTCTTTCAAAGGCAAGAAAGAAATATAAAGATAACAAACAAAATCAACCGTTCTTGAGACAATTTTTCACTTGTTTCCTACCTTGCTTAGTGTATCCTGCCGCCATATTTAATTCGAAAGGCCGGCTCCTTTTCATTAAGTTTGGTCTCCCTGTGGTGTCTAGTCTGGCCTGGTTCCAAAGCAGGGCCTTGACAGCGAGGCTTGTGCCACGTTTGGATTTTCAACTGGGTGAAAATGGTAAGCCACTATTTGTTGTGAATATTTCTGCATTTTTAARTCCTTTCACTCCTCACAATTCGCCTGAAACTGTTCATTGATAACCCTTTTTACTTACTTTTCCGATGAAGGTCTCTATCTTGAACACAGTGGATACCTCACATGAGGATATGGTGGTAAGTGGAATCTTTGATCTTAGAAAATTCTACTTTCTTAGTGGRGTTTTGGAGCGCAAAAAGTCGACAATTCAGCCGACATTTTAGAGACGATTACCTGTCACGCGTGTGTTGTTGGTCTCTGAGCTTGTAACGGTATTATTTTTTCTTAAGACGATGCTATTACTAGTAAATGTTTTTTGTATAGTTTTCATGTCTCGTTCCCATAGTTTTTCTGAAGGAATGTTAGGATTTTACGTTACTTGACTTCGTGGATTTCCGTCGCATTTTATAAGCTCCGTGCATAAAATCAGGAAGTAATCATTGCCATTTTTCTAAAGGAAAAAGGTTTTTGACTTTCTTTTCATATTCTACAGTGTAGGTTGTTAATAAATAATTTTAATATTTTTTTGTTCCCTTTTCCCGTTTTATTTTCAGTGGGAAATGAGAATTTTTTAGACTCGTTAAAGAAACTCATATAGTATAGTGAATGAGTGATGTTACTCAAGAGCTCTAAATCAATGTACTAATTACAACACTAATCTATCAATAATATATGTTCTTTTTTAAGGGTATTACAAAATCTTTCAAAAACCTTGAAACACTGAACTGTGTTCAAGTGATACCGTTTACCATAATAGTATAAAGTTTGGTGATAGTCTGGTAATATTCARGAATTAGTTCCTGAATATACCAATTTATTTCAGTATAATAATCTGAAATTCTGAAATGACCTTTCTATCCAAAGTCTGTGTTTGTTGTTAATACATTGTTGTTGCTTTTACTAGCATGATGCCCAGTTGGATTATTATGGTAAAAAGCTAGCAACTTGTTCATCAGATAAAACAGTCAAGATATTTGAGACTAGTGGCTCACAGCAAACGCTTGTTGCTACTTTAAGAGGGTATGTATATAGAGGCCATAACGCTATTCCCCTGAATTCATGATGGCACTGAGATTTAAAGGGACTGTTATTGCATATTATTCATATGCAAGCGCATATTATTCATATGCAAGCGCATATTATTCATATGCAGGCATTGCAGTGTTATACAGCACATACCTCTATAAGATTCTTTATTAACGACTTTCCATACTCAGGTCCAGTGACCACAAACACAGCATTGAAGCGAGGCGTCAAGGAACACTGCACACAGATATTTTCTTTTATGCTCAATTTACCTTTAAGATGCCTTGGTTAAATGATTTGTTCGTGGTCACTGGAACTGAGTATTGAAAGTCGTGAATTGCCTAATAATGGACTACGAAACAGGAAAATGACAATGACTATCAAGTTAACACTCTGTTATCTATTTATTTCCAGTCATGATGGCCCAGTTTGGCAAGTTAGTTGGTCACATCCCATGTTTGGAAATCTACTGGCATCATGTTCTTATGATAGGAAGGCAAGTCGTAGTAGTGAATAACTTGAGTAACAGTGTACAGGTGCTATAATATGATATTTTTTTCTCTGTTTATTAGGTTGTTATATGGAAGGAATCAAATACAGGGTGGACAAAGTTACAAGAATTCTGTAACCATGATTCATCAGGTAACACTTGTGACGAATGTCTTTTGAGTGACTATAATCACAAAATACCCAGATTACCAATTCTCAGAGGAAAGAAATGGATGAATGAATTAATGAATACATAGACTAGCAAATGGATAGTCAGAAAAACATGCCTCTCTCACGTTTTGAACAAAATAATCAGTATTTATTTAGTAAATGGCTTTATTTCAGTAAATTCAATCTGCTGGGCTCCACCAGAGTATGGATTGATTCTGGCTTGTGGATCATCAGATGGTTCAGTGTCCATTATATCTAGTCCAGGTAAAGTACACAGTATTAATGTATCTATTATTAGTCATATTGGSATGGGTTCTGCTTGTTTGATTTGCTACACATGTCATGTATGTTACTGGCCAAGATAACAAGTCTTTACAAGTAGTATAGATAGCACATAATTCCCTTTATTCCTATTTACAAGTAGTAGACTCTAGTCAGTTCAAAATGCAAGGGTTTTTTTTACTAATCATTGTCAAGCAATGTAAGTCTATTCCAACAATTATTGGGTTGGTCTTGTAGCAATACAGACAACAGTAAATAACAATGGTGTTTTATCTTCAGGTGATGGCACATGGGATTCAAAAAAGATAAACAATGCTCATACAGTAAGTGTATATTGTTTGTTCGTAATAAAGTAGTGGTAATAGGCCGAAACTGGCTCACTTTTTTAAAATCAAAACAGCTAGCCACCTGCACCGATTAAAATTTCAAGTCTCAATTTTTTGTTTCATAAATATTACCACTACTATGTTTGTATCTTTTTTAAATCATTGAGATTCTTGGTTTTTATTTGTGGTTATATCTACATTATATATAAGGATGAGTGTGAATGATGAAATTAATATACTTGAGGCTCTTAMTAGTCTTAGCAGAGACGATTTTACTGATATCTCTGCTAGAATTTCCGGAATCCAAAAGAAGGCAACTGCTATGAAAGGGTTTTTAAATACGTATGAAATAGAAGGAGGAAGGATAGCTCCAAATATATTTCTAGAAAGGAATAAGCGTAAGGTTGTTAATCTAATAAATAGAAAAGAAAAGCCYACCAAATCTAATATAGTTCTAACTTGCGAATTCTATAAAAGAGGTAATGAAGGAACTGTTTATTCGCACGGAACTTTCCGTTCAAAAATAGAAATAATAACTGATTCGACTAATATTTCTGATATTTATGATAAATGGACAGAAGATATATTGGAAAGTTTCAGTAATTATCAAAATGCAGGGTCTGGGTGGATATTTAGAAAAATAATAAGTCTTGAAATTAACATTGATACATTCGCTCCTATATCAGGAAGTTCTTATTTACCTCTTCCTAAAGAATTAATTCCAAAAAAGGCAATAATTAACATGAATAATAAAGATAACGAATGTTTCAGGTGGGCTGTAACTCGGGCTTTATATCAATCAAAAAAGGCTAATTTAGAGCGTATTGATAGTAAATTAAAGGAAGATTCAAAAAATCTTAACTGGAATGGATTAGCATTCCCAGTAAAAATCGAAGATATCTCAATATTTGAGGATAACAATCCATATGGCATTAATGTCTTCGGATACAATGGCGAGGTATATCCTCTAAGAATAACTAAGAGTCAAAATAAGATCATTAATCTACTTATGATCTCTGAAGGAGGTAAAAACCATTATTCTTGGATAAAAAATATGTCTCGTTTAGTAAGTAGGCAGGTCGATAATCATCAACATTATAGATTCATTTGTAATAGATGTTTGAATTCATTCAAATCTCAAGAATCTTTAAATAAACACGATGAATACTGTCAAAAGTCAGATGTCATAAAAATGTGTCTTCCTAAGAAAGGTGAAATTCTGAAATTTAAAAATTATAATCATTCAATGAGAGTTCCATTCGTAATATACGCGGATTTTGAATGCTTCACAAAAAAACTAGCTTCTTGTCAACCTAATCCTGAAAACTCGTATACTGAAAAGTTTCAATATCACAAACCTTCAGGATTCTGTTATTATTTAAAAACAGTAAATGATATATATGAGCCTAAAATGATATCGTATACTTGCAAAGGTGATGAAGATGTAGGTCAAAAATTCGTTAATTCAATTGAGAAAACAGTTAAGAAATTATATTCCAATATTTGGTATAAAAAGGTCAAAATGACTAAAATGGATAGAGAGCATTATAAAAATTCGAAAATTTGCCATATTTGCGAAGGAGATTTAGAAGAAGACAAAGTTTTAGATCATTGTCATTTAACAGGTAGATATAG